TTTATGTTTGAATTTTTATTTACATAACCTGCGAGGAAAATACTTATAATATTGATGGAAATGTAACTTAACTTCATTTCCAATGCCACAAATTTTCTCAATTTTTTTTCTTCTATTTGATGAATTTTTGAAAATCGTCATTCCCATGTAAACTAAGGGGAACCAATGGGCTTTATATTTAGTTAGTAGATAAGATTCAATCGCAGACCATCTGTAATTAGGTCTTTGAAGTTTAAAAATCCCGATAATCCGGTGGCGATTATCAGTGGATCAGTTTATTTAGAAAATAAAAAGTGATTATCAGGAAGCAATGCATACTGGTACACCATGTGACTTTTTAATATTTTTATTATGAACTTTTTCCCTTTACTGTGACAATAAAGTACTCATTCGAAATAATAAATCTAGACTTATTTGAAGTAATGTGTGTACCTTTTTAGCTTACACTTGTATTTAGTACCAGAGGCATACTCACCTAATTGCCGCCTTTAATCCATTTATTTGCTAAACATATATAATTAATGACATTAACACGATCCACTATTTAGTTTGATATTCGCGAAAATAGAGCGTATACTAAATGCACCGAAACAGCAACAATTTAAACTTTCCGAGATAAACGTGCATCTGAAAAGAAAACTGATTTTTTCGCTTGGATTTGTTTTTCCTTAAAAGGTGATGGATAATAAATACCCATTCGATCAAATGCTTGTGTTTATAAATGATACATATGCTTTGAATAATAACTAATTTCACAATGTTTCTATTATTCAATATTTGCTTTTGAGGACTTATCAGCCCCGGGAGCAAGATTTTTTTGTTTGAAATAAAACGAAACGGAGGCGGACAGATTTGAAAGAAAATGTGTTTTCATCAGTATTAACACTGGTGATCCACTCGATTACGCTGGTTACCGAAACGATTCGTTTTGGTAACAAAATGTCGGAACATCGAAGGTACAATTTTTCTCTTTTCCTTATTTCACATGTTGTAGGCAGAATTCCCACGACATTTTTTAACACAAACTAAGAAAATGTACATATGTGCGAACAAATAGTTCAGAAGACAACAGAATCGTCGATTTAATTCTTCACTTAGGTTATTAAACATAAACGGTTTTTCGAAAAACTGTTAAGATCTGCACTTTTAACCCAAACCGTTTATGTAACTTAAGTGAGGATGTAAATCGACGATTCCGTTGTCTTCTGAGCTATTTTTTCGCAAACATGAACATTTTCTAAAACATATGATACTGATACACGTTTGTGAGAAAAACATAGTGGGGATTCTGACATCGTGGGGATTCTGCCTACAACGCGTGAAATAAGGAAAAAAGAAAAATCGTACCTTCGACGTTCCGACATTTTGTTACCAAAACGAACCGTTTCGGTAACCAGCGTAATCGAGTGGATCACCAGTGATTAAGACAGTTGGTTTATTTCAGCGTAGATGGTGCAGCTTTTATGTTGGAAAATAAGTTGTGCGAAATTATTGATATTTCTTTTTTGCATAATGACATGATGCTCCGGGGTCTTCCCAAAATTAGACAGTCCCACCCCTTGCCTAAGGTTGCCAAACTTTTGGAGAGAAGTGTAACTTTACTATTTTTATCTACTGATATAAATTGAATGTTTCTGCTGGTTATTGCAATGAATTCATTCTATTTTCAAGATGACATCTGAATTCAACTTAGTTTTGAAGTGTGAACTAGGCATGAAGTATAAACTACCCTAATAAATTAATAATCTCATGTTTATGTTTATCTCATGTTTATTTGATTTTAACAATGGCCATTGTCTCTATCAAAAATAAAATTATACCAAATGAAATTTGGTACTCTATATTCCATTTAAGAATATTTAACTTGAAACTGGACTAAATATTATATCTGTCTCTGGGTAGTATAGTACATGTATTGTATACCAGTAACATCTTATTTAGTCTTGAATACTTCAAAGAACACTAGATATTTGCCTTTAGAAATACATTGAATCAGACTGCAATCTGTCTATGAGACGAGGACAGTGAGTTCACTCTAGACTAAAACCAAGAAGACAAACCCATAACTTACATTTTGTCTAAATAATCTGTCAACTTAAACACTAACGAGTTTTCCAGAGCTGATCAGATTTGATCAGAACTTTGCAGTTATCTGGAGGACTATAATGAACACTTGTCATCTAGCCTTATTTCTGCTAATATTCCGATTTGCTTGACCATGGCACACCGGAATAACCTGACAACGGTAAAGTCAGATACCGTAATTACCGTTGTCACAAATGGCGGACATAACCGTCGCTTACGTTATTTTAATTTTGACTGTAATTGTATAAGCATGTTTGTTTGTGGATGCACCACATTTTTTATGTGTGTGCCCCTGTTTTAAAGGTGATTCCAATCAATAAATAAAAATTAAAAATAATCATTTGGCCATACAAATGTGTCTATCCCCCCTGGGAGCAATAAATCTGGTCATCCCTACCCGGGCCCTGGCATGCTATTCGCTTTAAAACGTCACATTTTATCAGATGTAGTAGGCTAATGTTCATGAATGTTGAGGAATACATGCATAGGCGTAGTCAGGGGGGGGGGCGTTGCGATGGGTGCGATCGCACTCAGTCATAACCAATAAAAATAGAACCATTAGATAGAAGAAGAAAAGAGCTTTAAAATGCTTTTTAATTGAAGCTTCTAGCTCAATTTTAAAGGAATTTGCATCTTTGTGAAATTCAAAACAAATCATAGATTTTTATGGGGTTACTTATGCCACGATCTTCCCGGGGCATATCGGAACCAAACTGCCTCGTTAAACCGTTAATTTGAATTTCAAACCTTCTGTCTTTGAAAAATCAATGATTGTGAGCCTCAGACGGCACCGTTTTTCTTCAAACTTGAACCATTAAAAGCGTCGCAGAAATACCTTTCTGTCGGTCCATTGTTTTATTGTACAGAGTCCCTTGTTTTGGCGGGGTTTTGTGAGAAGATTTCTACTAAAAGCCTGAATATCTTGCCGTTTCTTTTCTTTTCTCCTCACGTTTTGGGTATGGACGTCCATTGTGCCACCCTCCATCGCTGCGTCTACATACTTAAATATCTGTACATCCTATTACTCATTTGCAAGACAATTAAAGAGAGAATCAGATCTAGCGAGCAAGCAAACAAAAAATGTTTCAATTTTAGAATATTTTTGGCTCATGTCATTCTTTGTCATGTCTATTTTTCTAAAAATCCCCAAAGTGCACAGTTTATTTCAGGAAAACTATAGATCTTTGCAATAATGTATTATTTTTCTATAAGAATTGTTACCATTCTTATTACTTGGGAGAATTTAAACATTTTCACCCATTTTTGCACTTCGAATCCATAATAACTTCATCAATTTATAAGATAATATGAATATTTTGGGAGATATTCTATTTGAGATTATAAAGAATAGATTGGGAGGTCAATTATACATGTTGCTTGTAATTTTGTCACTCCCTATAGATCTGATTCTGCCTTTTAGAATAGTTGTAAAATATAAATGAGTAATCTTAATGTATTTCACATTTGAAACTCCCCTCCCATAGCCACACGATACTAATTTCGACCGTCATCACCATTCAGATGTACTTGGTCTTTTTAAAAAATTGTCCGCTATCACGCGGTTCTAGCTTCGGCCGTTAATTTGAATTTTTGACCTACCAGTGTCTCATACTGCAACGTCCGTTTTTCTTCAAACTTATTCCATTCAACGCAAACAAAGCCTTTTTGTCGGTGCATTGCTTTATTGTAAAGAGTCCCTCGTTTGAGCAGCGTTTTTGGTCCCCAGCTTCTAGAAGCCCTTCTCACAGCTGGGGACCAAAATGCCGCTGGAAGAAGGGACTCTGTTTAACAGAATAATGTACCAACAGATAGGTAGTTTTTTATGCTTTGAATGGAACAAGTTTGAAGAAAAACGGTGCAGTATGAGACTCGTAATCCTTGATTTTCAAACATCTGGTAGGTCAAAAATTCAAATTAACGGTCAACGTTAGTAGCGCGTGATAGCGGACAAAAGTTTAAAAAAAGACCAGAATTTTGATAATTAAAGTATACTAACTGGTTCGTATTTATAGTTTTTCCAAATTGCTTCAAACGTCAAGAAATACATGGGTATCACATCCATAATAATGAAAGACATGAAACAAGTTACTTCCGCCTCCACAGGCCCAGGAAGAAGATTTAATACCCTCCAGTCACTGTGTTATGTATGAATTTCTTTTTACAAGAGTTTAGGGGGAGGGGGGGGGGGGGTAAATCTTCTTCCTGGGCCTGTGTCCGCCTCATTTCAAGATGGTCACTTCCGCCTGACATTTTTCTTACTCCGGAGCATTTCCCTGCTTTGATACAGTAAAAACGCCTTGGAGTGAATGTTCCAGCATGTATGTTCTACACCGAGCATGGTAACGCTATCTTGGGCTTCTAATTTCAAAAATGTTGAGAGACAAATTGAGATTCAAATTGAGATTTTGTAAACATTCAGCGTTTCTGGAATAAAAGTTTTTGCTCATATTTTCATTCCTGAACTCTTCAAATAAAAGTGCAGATGGCTAATGGGAAACTTAGTTCTGCTAAAGTTTTCTAATTTCCCAAATTTTGATCCTCCTGTATGCATTGGCGGATCTGGGAGTGGTGACTGGGGGCCCGCCCCCTCTTTTTCTGACCTGAAATGTGCCCCCCCCTTGTTGTTTCCCAGATCCGCCCCTGATATGTGCTATTATTCCAGCATGGATTGTGCTGCCACATTGTAACAATCCAAACAGACCGCAAGAGGAAGAGACGTCATATTGCTTGAAATTGTATCTTATTGCCACAGATATTTCGGAGGGGGGCATGACCCTCGACCCCCAAGATTCCCGACAGCTCGCTACGCTTAATTCGCGCAAGCTGCGCGTACGAGTAGGTACTCGCTTCGCTGGATTTTCCTAAAACAGTTCCCCGGCTGTAATTCCTGCTCTGATGTGTTTACTTTGTTTTAGGTGAGGTCGTAGAACTTTTATTACCTGAGGACAGAAGAAGATGGGTCATCACAGGGATAGCTTTACAACACGTAGTTGCACCATTGCTTAGAGACTATGTCGGACCAGAAGTAGCTAGGATATATAACAATCTGAAGAAAACCTCTAAAGTTGACCAGCAATCCGGTACCACCAAGTTACAGTCCTATAATGGCAGTAGACCACTCCAGTATCGAAATATAAACGCTAATGAACAACGAAGCAATCCTCAATATGATTACCGGATTAAGAACTATGTTGATTTCTCAAAGTTGTTCCTACAGACTCACATGGCCAAATTCACAGCGTTCGATGAATCGTGTGATCCTTCTGCTCTATTGGGACTCCTTATTAACATCCCTGGCTTCTCCAAAGTCGTCAAAACAAATGCTGGAGATATCCGTAATTTACGAAATGATTGGGCACATTGCAACTTCAATGAATGGACTGAAGTGAAATACCTGAACGCATTTGCGAATGCAGAAAAGTTTATAAGATGTCTTCAATTTTTGCCTAAGAAAGAAAAGAAAGCACTCAGTGACTTAAAAAACTGGCAAAACGATGGTAAGTTACTTTGCGTAAATGTATATAATCAATGACCCTCAGTCATTGTATATAAAATGATTTTCTAAACTATATGTAATCGCACATTTTGTCATATAATGCATGACCTAATTTAAAGGAAAATGTCATTTATTCCAGTTATTTATAATATTTACATAATATAATACCAAGAATTCAGTAATATTAAACAAAATATTGAAAATGTTATGATTGTTAAAGGATAGGTTACAAATGTGAACAGGAGGGAGTTTTCCAATTTTGAAAACATAAGGTAGTGCTCATATATGGAATTGGGAAGTTGTATGCCCTGCTCTTGAAAGCCCATGATACAGGGTGGTAAAAACGACAACCATGTAGTTTCCTCATATCTTTGTCGTCTAAGGTAATCACTCCCTGATATTTTACACATTTTGTACATCATTCAATCTTCTATCAGCCTAATTTCATGACCATCAGACTGATAGTCACAATGTTGCAGCACTTCAAACAACATGCTGCCCCAGGTATGGCCATCATCGCACTTGGGCAAACATGCAAAAGTTGTCTATGACCCAATTGCAATCCTCAGTAGGTATGGCCTGAATGAAAATATAATCTCCTTAATTAACCCGGGGTCATCTTTGGCATATCCCACAGGTTGAAGTCAGGTATGAACGTTTTGGACGACGGGTGCAGGTTTGCCCACAGCGCCATATTGGCCTCTGGAGCAGGTTTAAAGTGCTCTAACATGGTCATTAAATATTGTTGACTGGTAGGAGATTGAATGTTGTACACATGTACTAAATATCATGGAGTATTTTTCTAAAATGACAAAGATATGAGGAAAATAGCGACAGGGTTGCCGTTTTATTTGACCACCATGTATGTCCAAGGAGCCATAAACAAGCTAATAAATACTGAACCATGTCTTTACGTTTCATAATTTTAGGTGTGAAGTTTTTCTCTACTCCATGGATTGATGTAAAACTCTGTGAACGGATACAGACAACCACCAGGACTTTAGCTAAGCTCACGCTTGACGAGTCAAGTTCTTTAAGGACTGAGATATTGGCGGTGGAAACATCTTTGAAAACTGCATTGCTCCAATTTAACGAGAGGCTTGAAAATGTGGAGAAGAAACAAGGAGAAGACACAAAAAGGGTTGAACATGAACTCAAAAAGACCTCAAAGACAGTAACAGAATTGGGTGAAAAGGTAGAGACTGTAGATAAAAATGTGAATGTATTAGGGGCTGGACTCACAAAGGTCAGTATTGATCAGGTTAATGTTAAAGAGAAAGTGGATAGGTTGCACACAAGAGTAGGGGTTGTAGAGGATAAACTAGCCAGTCCTTTTTACTCTAACAATCCATGGTTTGATGCTCCAGATAGGAACTCAAATTTTTCAGGGAGGTTGGAAGAGTTGGGTTTGATTAGGTCTAGATTAGAGGATAATAATCAGTTTGACATTGTCGGACTATGTGGTCTTGGTGGTTGTGGAAAGAGTACACTGGCTAATGAAGTTGCATGGCAACTAAAAAAATTCTATTCAGGTGTATTCTGGATCTCGGCAGAGAGTTCAGAAATATTTGAGAACTCTCTCAATAGAATTGCTTTAGAATTGCAAGTATATGGCGATAATTTTAAACAAAAGCTCGATGCCGTCGTAAAGTGGTTGAAGGGGATTGAGACACCTTGGTTGTGTATAGTAGACAACCTTGACCTAAGGGAACTGAGTGCTGGAATGAAGACATTGCTGATGGGATCTTGGAGGCGAGAGAGCAAAGGTCATATCATTGTTACAACCAGAAGAGAGCCTATTGAACTACATCAAGATATAAATATAGAAGAATCAGCTTGTGTTCCCGTCGGACCTTTTACTATGGAGGAATCCATATCATTCATGGTAAGAAGGTCAGGATATTCTTCAAATGAATGCTTAGAACAACTTGTCAAAGATTTAGGCTTTTTGCCACTTGCACTTGAACAAGCTGCTGTTCATATTGGACAACGGAACTATAGCTATGAAGTCTACCTGAGAGAGTTCCAGCAAAGACGACTGAAATGGCTGAAAAAGGAAGCAACTGCACCACATGCAGATACTTCGAAAGAACGACTAGCTGTAAAAATGACTTGGAATATGAACTTTGAGTATGTCGAGGCAATATCAGAAGAAGAAGACATGGGCAACACGGCTTCAGTTATAATGAAAGTGATGGCCTTCCTACACGCAGATGATATACCAATAGAAGTTATCAATGAAGGCAATCCACCTGTTAAGGATGAAGATCTTAGTTTAAATTTGTCATCAAGCGTAGATATTGAAGAAGCAGTGTCAGTTTTGACAAATTTTTCTCTGTTCACAAAATGTACTCAAAACTCTTTAAGTGTTCATCGCTTGGTACAAGAAGTGATTAGAGATCAGCTTTCAAGAGATTGCGAATCTGGTCACATTCTTAAAATTGCCGTAAGTATGTTGAACAAAGCTTTGGATAACACTGATAGTCCTATAGCAATTATCACCGGGATGAACAAGAATGCTAACAATAGAGTTTCTTTAAGTCTTTGGTCACACCTTGCTTTACAAGCATGTTCATTGAGAGACCATGTTAAACAATTTAATGGTAGAAAGGAAAGAAAGGGGAGTGAACTGCTGATCAGCGAACCGATCCTGAGAATCATATATGAATCTTCTATTTTCCACAGTGTCAATCAACGACAAAGTGAAGCACTTTGCGCACAGGCTGAGAAAAACACAATGATGACATACCTGGATTCTCTTGATCAAGGCAAAATAGAATTCTACATGGAAGTCAAGATACCCATCTTAGAAGTTCAAAGAAAACGCATAGAAGAATGCATGAAATCTGAATCATCTGTTATTAAAGACCAAGCAAAATCAGATGAACTGCAGGGCCTAGGGAACACAAACTTTAAAGATGGTAACTTCCATGCTGCGATTTCATGTTACACAGAGTCGATCAACATTGCAACAGAAGAAACCTCAAAGGTCCTGTCCAATAGAAGTCTCAGCTATCTCAGAATAGAGGAGTATGAAAAATGTCTACAAGACGCCAACTCCTGCCTTTCCTTGGATTTTGAGTTCTGGAAAGCCAATTGTTGGAAGGCATACGCATTGCATAATTTGTGGCGTATAGAAACAGATCAGTTTCATGGTGCCTTGCAACCAATGTCATTTGAGCCATCGGTCCCTCAAGATATAAAGACAAGCTCTTATACAAGATCAATGGGATATGCTGCAGCAGCTATGGCATCATACCAACATCCAGAATCCTCTTTGGAATATAGAATGAAATTGTACTACCCAATAATTATCTACTGTGTAGTACATGATACGATGTCTTTGCAAAAGGCGTGGTTACCTACTAATAGACCATACACTACGATATTCCTCCAACCCAACACTTATACAACCCCACTCATAACGATGCAGAGTACCCAGATGGTTGGTCTTTCACCAACAGGTGTTCATATCGTTGTTCAGCCTGGAAGGATAGCAAACCAATCCAAAGATGTCAGAAACATTCATTTTGAGAACTTGCATTTCCAGGGTCATCAAATTATGATATTTGGTGGTGAAGTGACTTCCTTTATTAACTGCTCATTTGCAAACGGAGAAGAAGCATGCGATGAATACCCTTTTTGTAAAGGTGGAAATGGGTGCAAATCTTTAACTGCAAATGAATGTTTGCAAAAAAGCAAAAGCAATAGAAAGGAATCATTCAACAACTTTGCAAGGTTTGCCTCTGGTGAAATTAATAAAGAGCAGTTTTGTGATGGTGGATTGATAGGGGAATTTGTTCAAGTTGGAGAAAGAGGCGGTCCAGGTTTAGCAGCAATAGGAGGTGGCTCAGTCATTGTTCGCAATTCTCATTTCAATCGGTGTGGTGGAGGGGGCATGTTGGTAGATGGGCGTGGTTCTTTTGGAGAGATTGATGGATGTACTGTTGAGCGTTGCAGACAAATTGGACTTGAGGTGCGCAATGGAGGGTCATTGATAGTAAATAACTGTGATATCAAAAACAATCAAACGCATGGGTTAACAATAGGATCATTGGCTGAATACTGTCGAGTAACTAGAAGTGCTATTCATCACAATCAACTTGAAGGCATTTTGTTTACATTATCAACGATAGCAGAGATAAAAAACAATACTATATTCCACAATGGGATGAGAGGAATTTCAACCGATGGTGGCATTATTACCATACAAGGAAACAAAATATTTGAAAATTGGTTCTGGGGGATATCTTTGAAAACACGAACAAGTGGCAATGTACAAAATAATGAAATCTTCAGCAATAAATGTGGTGGAATACGTGTTGGGACAAACTATTCAGCGCGAATCCTCATAGATAGTAATACAATACGCGATCATCCAGGACCAGCCTTGCATACAGAGGTTCTTCGACCAGAGACTGAAAGGCTTTTAAAAGATACGTCAACCCAATCAAAAATTCAGAAAGGAATGCCTCAGGACGAAGTAACATTGTATATCAGTCCCCCAATGGTAACAGACAGGAACATAATTCGGAAAAATGGAGTTGGAAAGCTATTGAAAACAAATCCCTTAGAAATATGTGCCAATTGTCACAGCAAGGGTGATATGCAGAAATGCTCCAAATGTCGCAAGACACAGTATTGCGGTAAAGCGTGTCAAAAACAACACTGGAATAAACACAAACGTATATGCAAAATTATTTCAGGTGAATCTTCAGTGGTAATTAAAATGAAAGAAACCAAAACTTCAGCTGGTCTGACAGATGCAACATCATTCTGCATACGCATTTTTGATCCATCTTTAAAAGGTATTGGTGAAGGAATACCTCCTGACCCTGATTCTACCCAGAAGTTTGTTGTAAAAGTTCAGGCAGGGAATGAAGCAAGACTATACGATCCAGAGGCGATGATATCACTCTATGACCAAACTGTACAGTTAGACATATGGCTTGTCAGTCCAACACTCTACCATATAGTCATGGAATGTGGAACACTTGGAGCTAACCAGTTCACAAGTAAAAAGGTGTACTTCTGGGCAAACTATGAAAAGAAGGGTGAAGTACTTCGCATTCATATTGATGATTTCCCCCCAACGCCAACTTGGTGATTACAATATGAACTCAGAAGGAATTGCCCTTTGCGATTTTGGCTTAGCTTCTAAAAAACTCTTCATGTTTACAGGCCACCTATAAAGTTTTAATCACTTTGGTTTATATTATTTGTCAAAATATTGATTTTGAAGGACTTTTGTTTTATTTTAAATATAATTTTACTTGTTATGCACATACATTGTTAAGCAATAATTTACACCACCGCATAACATAAGTCAGTTTTAATACATTAAAGCAACTTTAAAGGAATATTTTTTGCTGAATATATCTAAATTGAATGTTATTGATTGGGGTTGGATGTAAATTTGAAATGATAAAATGGTTTACACTGTTTTTCCATACTTTTGCATATTTCATATGTCGATTCTTAATTTTTAACTATGTGCACAACGTTTTGTTTTATGAACATTGTATATTTCATGAAATAAATAATAAATAAACTACTACATGTATAAATAATAATACTACTATAAATATAACCCATCCTATTTCATGTTGAAAATTTGAAAAAATGGAACTCTCCATATGCATAAACAAATAAACAAAATAGGAATCAGATTCAAGTCTATTATTATTTAATTCAGCTCTCTGGAATTTGACTCAACGGATGCTTTACAGCAGCAACGCCAAAGAGTAGCAAATCCCATCTAACAGCCATGGCTAGAATTTTTTCAAACAAAGTATATAGCAAAAATGGCAGCCATTTTTCAAAATGCCCCCAAGTAAAATAGAAATCTAATATACCACTAATACATCACCAATAGATCACCGATACACGATGCAAAGTGATTTAGTCAAGTGGTTTATAAGTTATGTATTAAAACTGGCAATACTCGACTAATAAACCACTGTAAGGTTTTTTAGTTGGATTGGTTTGTTAGTTGTGTATCAACTCGATTTTTTCTGGAATGGTCTATTAGTAGTGTATTAAATTGATCCTCGATTTAGAATGAGAAACCCCTTTTAAATGGTGGAAATAGTTAAAATGTGAGGGAATTAATTCTCCAATAAAATGTAGCATTACAACCAGAGGGTTGACTGGACTTTATTGAATCTTGCTCAGCATATTCATAAAGGTATGTAGAAGATGTACATGTTGAATCTTATTCATAATTTCTCACTGAATTTAGCACTATGGAGACTTTGAACCTTATTGATGCATAAAATTCTTAAATTTCAGGAGTGATTTGAAAGTAGTCTATTAAACTAGTAGTGGTGTATTAGTGGTGTATAAGAGTTAAGGAAGTAATGTATTAGTGGTATATTAGTAATACTTGAGACTTCAGGAGTGATCTATTAGTAGTGTATTACATGCTCTCTGATTGGTCAATATTTTTTATCTCATTTGCATGGTAATTTTTTCAACTAATAAACCACCTGTTAAGTCAATGGCGAAAAGTGATCTGTTAACGAAAATGACCACTAACAAGTCATTAATAGATCATGTTCTACTAGTTGAGTATTAGTAGTCTATTAGTGGTTTATTAGAGTGATATGGCTTGCTGTTTTTTCACTTGGGGCACCTTCCACCAAAAGTGTCACTAGACAGTGTGCCATTCTTATAGTATTCACATACCAAATATGAACAAAATCGCTCTACTACTTTTCAAGTTGTAGTAAAAAAAAGTAAAAATGGTGGCCATTTTTCATATTTAGTATGTGAGTACTATAAGCATGGCACACTGTCTAATATCACTTTTGGTGGAAGGCGACCATTTTGAAAAATGGCCACCATTTTTACTTTTTTTACTATAACTTGAAAAGTAGTAAAGCGATTTTGTTCATATTTGCTATGTGAATACTATAAGCATGTTACACTGTCTAATGACACTTTTGGTGGAAGGTGACCAACGACCATTTTGAAAAATGGCCACCATTTTTACTTTTTTTCACAATAACTTGAAAAGTAGTAAAGCGATTTTGTTCATATTTGGTATGTGAATACTATAAGCATGGTACGCTGTCTAATAACACTTTTGGTGGAAGGCGACCATTTTGAAAAATGGCCACCATTTTTACTATAACTAGAAAAGTAGTGGAGCCCCCCCTGCCACATCAATGATCTGGTACAAATGGTTACCCAAGTGCTTGAATTTGTGAGTATTCTGATATATATGTAACATTTTAATTTTTGTGTTTCTATTGCAAATCAAGGGTAAGGTAGATGCTAAACATTATGTTGTGACATACAGATTCGTGAATTTAGTGTTCTTTGGCATTTGCTGCGCTATGGAGTTTGCCACTTTCTAGTATTTTATTCAATTTAATGGACATAAGTAAATGATAAATGAACAAAAGGCATAATACAGAACAAAAACAAATATAAATATTTGCTTGTTTCAGGATGTATGGCATGGGTAATCAGCATGTCAAAAACATATAGATAGAATATGGTGGAATAACAGATGCCACAGGGAATAGATGGAAAAACAGATTGCACGTGGAATTGCCACAATACTTCACCAGTATTTATTGTGAAGAACAACTTTTATTTAATTCACTGGAAGGAGCTGTTGACATATGAACAATTAGGATGATAAATGATATGGAGGGCTTGAGGAATGACCACATTACTTCACCAGGATTTATATACATATATATTAGCTGATTAAAAAATAGAAAGACATATGCAACAATCTGACAATAGGCATAATATATGATACAGGATGGCACACAAGGATTTACGTACATAAATCATATTCAAGGATATTTAAATGATACCAGATGGAATGATGATTGTGACAGTTGTGATTCTTATAGACCATGATGTGAGTCAAGTGTGGAGATACCCCCCACACACAAACAATAGCATTTTGTGTACATGGCACCCTTCCCAATAAACTTTAGCAACATTTCAAAGATAAAAGACTGATGTTGATATAATTCAGTGTAAAGATGAAAAATGGAATTTTTTGCGAGGGTAATATAGTATGGTAATTACATAGAGATGTGTGATGGCTTGATAGCATATACTTTGATCAGCATTAGTCAAGTTCTGAAATCACTTTATCCCGCAGCAATTTTTTTTACCAAGCGCCGGGATATGTCAGGTCTCAAATAATTATATCACAGCGTTTTCAAAAAAAAAATTACGGGACAGTGAGTTTGAAAAGCTGACTGTCCCGTGGCTCAGTGCTACAAAGTGTTCATACGGGATAAAGGTGTTTGCAATCGTGACTATCCTGCGAGCCCTATAAAATTACGTGACAGTGTATCTAAAATTCATTATATCCCGATCTGTGAAAAACATTTGTCGGGGTCGGGACTAAAAATCAGATCTGTAATTTATATTTCGATAGAAATTGAAGCATTATGAGTGTATCGAGACTGACATGGAAGGTTAGACGGACTGGTTCAACATCAAGAAAAATAGAACTGGTCTGTGAAAAATGATTTTCTGTTTTTAGCCAGTAACTTAAACAACATCGTGAAACTTAAGAAAGTGAGCAATGTCATTAGTATTGTGATAATAACGTCCCTTATACCTATTTATTCCAGGTCGTGTAGACCCTTGTTGCCCGATTTATAGCAAAAACATTGACTTTTGCACGTTGGTGATGATGCACCTTTTTTAATAGATCTCATATCTTAGAAGGGTATCAGTTCAAAAAGTTACTAGATGACCTAACATATTTTGCCATGCACTGCGTCTATTCATTTGGCAATTCAGTTGTAAATTTTCTCTTGAAAAAATAAATCTCACCGGGCGTGCTTGTGATACTTCTAAGATTCCAATTTTTCCCTCGAAATTGTTTCAAAACATCGTACACACCCTACCTTACTGACATACTGGTATAATATTCTAATCTGGTCCTTTAATTTGAGGAATGACAAATATCACTATTAAATTGGTGCTTTAAATAATACCCCGAAGTTTGAATTCTTTTCAAATAGAACCCTGGTGTCTGTTTATCTTTATTATTGAAAAAACAAAGATTCATTTTTTATATATTTATTTTAGGAACAACTATAAAACCGATTCCTGCATATCCTTTAAAAGTTTTATTGAAATCCAATGCTTTTTCAAAAAGTTATATCGAAATAATAAATATTGACGGTTTTTGGCCCACCCTGTATAAAATGATTTTCTAACTTAGAGAAAAACTATATGTAATCGCACATTTTGTTAAATAATGTATGACTTAATTTAAAGGAAATATCATTTATACCAGTTATTTATAATATTTACATAATATAATACCAAGAATACAGTAAAATTAAACAAAATATTGAAAATGTTATAATACTTGTAGTTAAAGGATAGGTAACGAATGTGAACAGGAGGAATTTTTCCAATTTTGAAAACATAAGGCAGTACTCATATATGGAATTGGGCAGTTGTATGCCCTTCTCTTGAAAGCCCATGATACAGGGTGATAAAACGACAACCCTGTAATTTCTTTGTCATCTTAGGTAATCACTCCCTGATATTTGTACACTTGTACATCATTCAATCTTCTATCAGCCTATAACAATTTATGACCATCAGACTGAAAGTCACAATGTTGCAGCAGTTCAAACAACATGCCCCAGGTATGGCCATCATCGCGCTTGGGCATTATGCACAAGTTGTCTATGACCCAACTGCAATCCTCAGTAGGTATGGCCTGAATGAAAATTATGATCTCCTTAATTGTCCTGGGGTCATCTTTGGCATATCCCACAGGTTGAAGTCTGGTATGAACATTTTGGACGACGAGTGCAGGTTTGCCCAAAGCGCAATATTGGCTTCTGGAGCAGATTTAAAGTGCTGTAACATTGTAACTATTAATCTGATGGTCGTGAAATATTGTGGGCTGGTAGGATATTAAATGATGTACACATGTACTAAATTTCATGGAGCATTTTTCTAAAATGACAAAGATATGAGGGAAATTGCAGGCAGGGTTGCCATTTTATTTGACCACTCTGTATGTCAGAGGAGCCATAAACAAGCTAATAAATACTGAACCTTGTCTATACGTTTCATAATTTTAGGTGTGAAGTTTTTCTCTACTCCGTGGATTGATGTAAAACTCAGGACTTTAGCTAAGCTCACACTTGACGAGTCAAGTTCTTTAAGGACTGAGATATTGGCGGTGGAAACATCTTTGAAAACTTCATTGCTTCAATTTAACGAGAGGCTTGAAAATGTGGAGAAGAAACAAGGAGAAGACACAGACAGGGTTGAACATGAACTCAAAAAGACCTCAAAGACAGTAACAGAATTGGGTGAAAAGGTAGAGACTGTAGATAAAATGTGAATGTATTAGGGGCTGGACTCAAAAAGGTCAGTATTGATCAGGTTAATGTTAAAGAGAAAGTGGATAAGTTGCACACAAGAGTAGGGGTTGTAGAGGATAAACTAGCCAGTCCTTTTTACTCTACCAATCCATGGTTTGATGCTCCAGATAGGAACTCAAATTTTTCAGGGAGGTTGGAAGAGTTGGGTTTGATTAGGTCTAGATTAGAGGATAATAATCAGTTTGACATTGTCGGACTATGTGGTCTTGGTTGTTGTGGAAAGAGTACACTGGCTAATGAAGTTGCATGGCAACTAAAAAATTTCTATTCAGGTGTATTCTGGATTTCGGCAGAGAGTTCAGAAATATTTGAGAACTCTCTCAATAGAATTGCTTTAGAATTGCTGGTACATGGCGATAATTTTAAACAAAAGCTCGATGCCGTCGTAAAGTGGTTGAAGGGAATCGAGACACCTTGGTTGTGTATAGTAGACAACCTTGACCTAAGGGAACTGAGTGTTGGAATGAAGACATTGCTGATGGGATCTTGGAGGCGAGAAAGCAAAGGTCATATCATTGTTACAACCAGAAGAGAGCCTATTGAACTACAGCAAGACATTCGTATAGAAGAATCAGCCTGTGTACCCGTTGGACCTTTTACTATGGAGGAATCTATATCATTCATGGTAAAAAGGTCAGGATATTCTTTAAACGAATGCTTACAACAACTTGTCCAAGATTTGGGGTTTTTGCCACTTGCACTTGAACAAGCTGCTGTTCATATAAAACAGCGAAAGTATAGCTATGAAGTCTACCTGAGAGAGTTCCAACAAAAACGGCTGAAGTGGTTAAAAAAGGAAGCAACTGCACCACATGCAGAGACTTCGAAAGAACGACTAGCTGTAAAAATGACTTGGAAAATGAACTTTGAGTATGTCGAGGCAATATCAGAGGAAGAAGACATGGGCAACACAGCTTCAGTTATAATGAAAGTGATGCCCTTCCTACACGCAGATGATATACCAATAGAAGTTATTAATGAAGGCAATCCACCTGTTGAGGATGAAGATCTTAGTTTAAATTTGTCATCAAGCGTAGATATTAAAGAAGCAGTGTCAGTTTTGACAAAATTTTCTCTGTTCACAAAATGTACTCAAAACTCTTTAAGTGTTCATCGCTTGGTACAAGAAGTGATTAGAGATCAGCTTTCAAGAGATTGCGAATCTGGTCACATTCTTAAAATTGCCGTAAGTATGTTGAACAAAGCTTTGGATAACACTGATAGTCCTAAACCAATCATCACTGGGGTGAAAAAGAATGCTACCAATAGAGTTTCTTTAAATCTTTGGTCACGCCTTGCTTTACAAGCATGTTCATTGAGAGACCATGTTAAACAATTTAATGGTAGAAAGGGAAGAAAGGGGAGTGAACTGCTGATCAGCGAACCGATCCTGAGAATCATATATGAATCTTCAATTTTTCACAGTGTCAATCAACGACAAAGTGAAGCACTTTGCGCCCAGGGTGAGAAAAACACAATGATGACATACCTGGATTCTCTTGATCAAGGCAAAATAGAATTCTACATTGAAGTCAAGATACCCATCTTAGAAGATCAAAGAAAACGCATAGAAGAATGCATGAAATCTGAATCATCTGTTATTAAAGACCAAACAAAATCAGATGAACTTCGAGGCCTAGGGAACACAAACTTTAAAGATGGTAACTTCCATGCTGCGATTTCATGTTACACAGAGTCGATCAACATTGCAACAGAAGAAACCTCAAAAGTTCTGTCAAATAGAAGTCTCAGCTACCTCAGAAAAGAGGAGTATGAAAAATGTCTACAAGACGCCAACTCCTGCCTTTCCTTGGATTTTGAGTCCTGGAAAGCCAATTGTTGGAAGTCATACGCATTGCATAATTTGTGGCGTATAGAAACAGATCAGTTTCATGGTGCCTTGCAACCAATGTCATTTGAGCCATCGGTTCCTCAAGATATAAATACAAGTTCTTATACAAGATCAATGGGATATGCTGCAGCAGCTATGGCATCATACCAACATCCAGAATCCTCTTTGGAATATAAAATGAAATTGTACTACCCAATAATTAACTACTGTGTAGTACATGATACGATGTCTTTGCAAATGGCATGGTTACCTACTAATAGACCATACACTACGATATTCCTCCAACCCAACACTTATACAACCCCACTCATAACAATGCAGAGTACCCAGATGGTTGGTCTTTCACCAACGGGTGTTCATATCGTTGTTCAGCCTGGAAGGATAGCAAACCCATCCAAAGATGTCAGAAACATTCATTTTGAGAACTTGAATTTCAAAGGTCATCAAATTATGATATTTGGTGGTGAAGTGGCTTCCTTTATAAACTGCTCATTTGCAAATGGAGAAGAAGCATGCGATGAATACCCTTTTTGTAAAGGTGGAAATGGGTGCAAATCTTTAACTGCAAATGAATGTTTGCAAAAAAGCGAAAGCAAAAGAAAGGAATTGTTAAAAAACTTTGCAAGGTTTGCGTCTGGTGAAATTAATAAAGAACAGTTTTGTGATGGTGGATTGATAGGGGAATTTGCTCGTGTTGGAGAAAGAGGCAGTCCAGGTTTAGCAGCAGGTGAAGGTGGCGTAGTCATTGTTCGCGATTCTCATTTCAATCGGTGTGGTGGAGGCGGCATGTTAGTAGATGGACGTGGTTCTTTTGGAGAGATGGATGGATGTATTGTTGAGAGTTGCAGACAAGATGGAATTGAGGTGCGCAATGGAGGATCATTGATAGTAAATAACTGTGATATCAAAAACAATCACAATAGGATCATTGGCTGAATACTGTCGAGTAACTAGAAGTGCTATTCATCACAATCAACTTGAAGGCATTTTGTTTACATTCTCAACGATAGCGGAGATAAGAAACAATACTATATTCCAAAATGTTATGAGAGGAATTTCGGCCGATGGTGGCGTTATTACCATTCAAGGAAACAAAATTTTTGAAAATTGGTTTTGGGGGATAACTTTGAAAACCCGAACAACTGGCAATGTACAAAATAATGAAGTCTTCAGCAATAAATGTGGTGGAATACGTGTTGGGACAAACTATTCAGCGCGAATCCTCATAGATAGTAATACAATACGCGATCATCCAGGACCAGCCCTACATACAGAGGTTCTTCGACCAGAGACTAAAAGGCTGTTAAAAGATATGTCAATCCAATCAAAAATTCAGGAAGGAATGCCTCAGGACAAAGTAACATTGTATATCAGTCCCCCAATGTTAACAGACAGGAACATAATTCGGAAAAATGGAGTTGGAAAGCTATTAAAAACAAATCCCTTAGAAATATGTGCCAATTGTCACAGCAAGGGTGACCTGCTAAAATGCACCAAATGTCGCAAGACACAGTATTGCGGTAAAGCGTGTCAAAAACAACACTGGAATAAACACAAACGTATTTGCAAAATTATTTCAGGTGAATCTTCAGTGGTAATTAAAATGAAAGAAACCAAAACTTCAGCTGGTCTGACAGATGCAACATCATTCTGCATACGCATTTTTGATCCATCTTTAAAAGGTATTGGTGAAGGAATACCTCCTGACCCTGATTCTACCCAGAAGTTTGTTGTAAAAGTTCAGGCAGGGAATGAAGCAAGACTATACGATCCAGAGGCGATGATATCACTCTATGACCAAACTGTACAGTTAGACATATGGCTTGTCAGTCCAACACTCTACCATATAGTCATGGAATGTGGAACACTTGGAGCTAACCAGTTCACAAGTAAAAAGGTGTACTTCTGGGCAAACTATGAAAAGAAGGGTGAAGTACTTCGCATTCATATTGATGATTTCCCCCCAACGCCAACTTGGTGATTACAATATGAACTCAGAAGGAATTGCCCTTTGCGATTTTGGCTTAGCTTTTAAAAAACTCTTCATGTTTACAGGCCACCTATAAAGTTTTAATCACTTTGGTTTATATTATTTGTCAAAATATTGATTTTGAAGGACTTTTGTTTTATTTTAAATATAATTTTAGTTGTTATGCACATACATTGTTAAGCAATAATTTACACCACCGCATAACATAAGTCAGTTTTATTACATTAAAGCAACTTTAAAGGAATATTTTTTGCTGAATATATCTAAATTGAATGTTATTGATTGGGGTCGGATGTAAATTTGAAATGATAAAATGGTTTACACTGTTTTCCATACTTTTGCATATTTCATATGTCGATTCTTAATTTTTAACTATGTGCACAACGTTTTGTTTTGTGAACATTGTATATTTCATGAAATAATTAATAAATAAACTACTACATGTATAAATAATAATACTACTATAAATATAACCCATCCTATTTCATGTTGAAAATTTGAAAAAATGGAACTCTCCATATGCATAAACAAATAAACAAAATAGGAATCAGATTCAAGTCTATTATTATTTAATTCAGCTCTCTGGAATTTGACTCAACGGATGCTTTACAGCAGCAACGCCAAAGAGTAGCAAATCCCATCTAACAGCCATGGCTAGCATTTTTTCAAACAAAGTATATAGCAAAAATGGCAGCCATTTTTCAAAATGCCCCCAAGTAAAATAGAAATCTAATATACCACTAATAGATCACCAATAGATCACCGATACACGATGCAAAGTGATTTAGTCAAGTGGTTTATAAGTTATTTATTAAAACTGGCAATACTCGACTAATAAACCACTGTAAGGTTTTTTAGTTGGATTGGTTTGTTAGTTGTGTATCAACTCGATTTTTTCTGGAATGGTCTATTAGTAGTGTATTAAATTGATCCTCGATTTAGAATGAGAAACCCCTTTTAAATGGTGGAAATAGTTAAAATGTGAGGGAATTAATTCTCCAATAAAATGTAGCATTACAACCAGAGGGTTGACTGGACTTTATTGAATCTTGCTCAGCATATTCATAAAGGTATGTAGAAGATGTACATGTTGAATCTTATTCATAATTTCTCACTGAATTTAGCACTATGGAGACTTTGTACCTTATTGATGCATACAATTCTTAGATTTCAGGAGTGATTTGAAAGTAGTCTATTAAACTAGTAGTGGTCTATTAGTGGTGTATAAGAGTTAAGGAAGTAATGTATTAGTGGTATATTAGTAATACTTGAGACTTCAGGAGTGATCTATTAGTAGTGTATTACATGCTCTCTGATTGGTCAATATTTTTTATCTCATTTGCATGGTAATTTTTTCAACTAATAAACCACCTGTTAAGTCAATGGCGAAAAGTGATCTGTTAACGAAAATGACCACTAACAAATCATTAATAGATCATGTTCTACTAGTTGAGTATTAGTAGTCTATTAGTGGTTTATTAGAGTGATATGGCTTGCTGTTTTTTCACTTGGGGCACCTTCCACCAAAAGTGTCACTAGACAGTGTGCCATTCTTATAGTATTCACATACCAAATATGAACAAAATCGCTCTACTACTTTTCAAGTTGTAGTAAAAAAAAGTAAAAATGGTGGCCACTTTTCATATTTAGTATGTGAGTACTATAAGCATGGCACACTGTCTAATAACACTTTTGGTGGAAGGCGACCATTTTGAAAAATGGCCACCATTTTTACTTTTTTTTACTATAACTTGAAAAGTAGAGGAGCAATTTTGTTCATAATTTGTATGTGAGTACTATAAGCATGACACACTGTCTAATATCACTTTTGGTGGAAGGCGACCATTTTGAAAAATGGCCACCATTTTTACTTTTTTTTACTATAACTTGAAAAGTAGTAAAGCGATTTTGTTCATATTTGCTATGTGAATACTATAAGCATGTTACACTGTCTAATGACACTTTTGGTGGAAGGTGACCATTTTGAAAAATGGCCACCATTTTTACTTTTTTTCACAATAACTTGAAAAGTAGTAAAGCGATTTTGTTCATATTTGGTATGTGAATACTATAAGCATGGTACGCTGTCTAATAACACTTTTGGTGGAAGGCGACCATTTTGAAAAATGGCCACCATTTTTACTATAACTAGAAAAGTAGTGGAGCCCTCCCCCCCCTGCCACATCAATGATCTGGTACAAATGGTTACCCAAGTGCTTGAATTTGTGAGTATTCTGATATATATGTAACATTTTAATTTTTGTGTTTCTATTGCAAATCAAGGGTAAGGTAGATGCTAAACAGTGGAGAGGTTAAGCTTTGCATATATATTCGAAACTGAACCTGTACGTATCACTCGACCATATACAAATTCATGTAGCCTTCTCATATAAATAGCCGTTCAAATCCAGTGTTTGTTTAGACTACACCATAGCGTGTAATGATTCTATAGTATGTCATTGATGCGGTTTTATAGCTGGTTTTCTAATACATATTTTAAACGAGCTGTTTCGTAAGATTTTTGGCGCTAAATCATGCATGACATACATCATCGTGTTCAGCAAGAATTCAACTGTGCATTGAAATCAAAATTGACAGCATAGTGTTCAATAGACACGAGTAAAATGGTTCCCGTTGACCCAACGTCAAATTTTCAAATCTCCCGTTCTATACCCGAAACTCTGAAGCTGAAAGAGTATCTGAAGTAGACTAGCGCGCATAAAACTATGAGCGCTCGATACATTCCTTTGTTAATTTTTGTACTTTGCGTTCACGGTTACGTTGTGAAAAACATCGTTAGCTTAACCTCTCCATTATGTTGTGACATACAGATTCGTAAATTTAGTGTTCTTTGGCATTTGCTGCGCTATGGAGTTTGCCACTTTCTAGTATTTTATTCAATTTAATGGACATAAGTAAATGATAAATGAACAAAAGGCATAATACAGAACAAAAACAAATATAAATATTTGCTTGTTTCAGGATGTATGGCATGGGTAATCAGCATGTCAAAAACATATAGATAGAATATGGTGGAATAACAGATGCCACAGGGAATAGATGGAAAAACAGATTGCACGTGGAATTGCCACAATACTTCACCAGTATTTATTGTGAAGAACAACTTTTATTTAATTCACTGGAAGGAGCTGTTGACATATGAACAATTAGGATGATAAATGATATGGAGGGCTTGAGGAATGACCACATTACTTCACCAGGATTTATATACATATATATTAGCTGATTAAAAAATAGAAAGACATATGCAACAATCTGACAATAGGCATAATATATGATACAGGATGGCACACAAGGATTTACGTACATAAATCATATTCAAGGATATTTAAATGATACCAGATGGAATGATGATTGTGACAGTTGTGATTCTTATAGACCATGATGTGAGTCAAGTGTGGAGATACCCCCCACACACAAACAATAGCATTTTGTGTACATGGCACCCTTCCCAATAAACTTTAGCAACATTTCAAAGATAAAAGACTGATGTTGATATAATTCAGTGTAAAGATGAAAAATGGAATTTTTTGCGAGGGTAATATAGTATGGTAATTACATAGAGATGTGTGATGGCTTGATAGCATATACTTTGATCAGCATTAGTCAAGTTCTGAAATCACTTTATCCCGCAGCAATTTTTTTTACCAAGCGCCGGGATATGTCAGGTCTCAAATAATTATATCACAGCGTTTTCAAAAAAAAAATTACGGGACAGTGAGTTTGAAAAGCTGACTGTCCCGTGGCTCAGTGCTACAAAGTGTTCATACGGGATAAAGGTGTTTGCAATCGTGACTATCCTGCGAGCCCTATAAAATTACGTGACAGTGTATCTAAAATTCATTATATCCCGATCTGTGAAAAACATTTGTCGGGGTCGGGACTAAAAATCAGATCTGTAATTTATATTTCGATAGAAATTGAAGCATTATGAGTGTATTGAGACTGACATGGAAGGTTAGACGGACTGGTTCAACATCAAGAAAAATAGAACTGGTCTGTGAAAAATGATTTTCTGTTTTTAGCCAGTAACTTAAACAACATCGTGAAACTTAAGAAAGTGAGCAATGTCATTAGTATTGTGATAATAACGTCCCTTATACCTATTTATTCCAGGTCGTGTAGACCCTTGTTGCCCGATTTATAGCAAAAACATTGACTTTTGCACGTTGGTGATGATGCGCCTTTTTTAATAGATCTCATATCTTAGAAGGGTATCAGTTCAAAAAATTACTAGATGACCTAACATATTTTGCCATGCACTGCGCCTATTCATTTGGCAATTCAGTTGTAAATTTTCTCTTGAAAAAATAAATCTCACCGGGCGTGCTTGTGATACTTCTAAGATTCCAATTTTTCCCTCGAAATTGTTTCAAAACATAGTGCACACCCTACCTTACTGACATACTGGTATAATATTCTAATCTGGTCCTTTAATTTGAGGAATGACAAATATCACTATAAAATTGGTGCTTTAAATAATACCCCGAAGTTTGAATTCTTTTCAAATAGAACCCTGGTGTCTGTTTATCTTTATTATTGAAAAAACAAAGATTCATTTTTTATATATTTATTTTAGGAACAACTATAAAACCGATTCCTGCATATCCTTTAAAAGTTTTATTGAAATCCAATGCTTTTTCAAAAAGTTATATCGAAATAATAAATATTGACGGTTTTTGGCCCACCCTGTATAAAATGATTTTCTAACTTAGAGAAAAACTATATGTAATCGCACATTTTGTTAAATAATGTATGACTTAATTTAAAGGAAATATCATTTATACCAGTTATTTATAATATTTACATAATATAATACCAAGAATACAGTAAAATTAAACAAAATATTGAAAATGTTATAATACTTGTAGTTAAAGGATAGGTAACGAATGTGAACAGGAGGAATTTTTACAATTTTGAAAACATAAGGCAGTGCTCATATATGGAATTGGGCAGTTGTATGCCCTTCTCTTGAAAGCCCATGATACAGGGTGATAAAACGACAACCCTGTAATTTCTTTGTCATCTTAGGTAATCACTCCCTGATATTTGTACACTTGTACATCATTCAATCTTCTATCAG